CCCATGTTCCCCTTTGTCTAAGGTACAGCTAGTAACTGGTGAGGCCAGCATTTTTTTTTTTTTTTTTTAAGATGACCGGTAAGGGGATCCTAACCCTTGGCTTGGTGTTGTCAGCACCACGCTCAGCCAGTGAGCGGGAGCCGGTCTGTATGTGGGATCCGAACCCTCGGACGGGAGCGCCGCCGCGCTTCCCAAGCGGCGCACTATCCAGTGCGCCACCGGGCCGGCCCAATAGCCACCTTTTATCCCAGAGCAGCCTTCCAAAGTCATTGCTATCTGTGTTATGGTCACAGGGATATGAACCCTGTGGAATTAGACTTCATTTCAAAATGCTGGCCTCAGGGCCGGCCCGTGGCTCACTCGGTAGAGTGTGGTGCTGATAACACCAAGGCCACAGGTTCAGATCCTATATAGGGATGGCTGGTTGGCTCACTGGCTGAACGTGGTGCTGACAACACCAAGCCAAGGGTTAAGATCCCCTTACCGGTCATCTTAAAAAAAAAAAAAAAAAATGCTGGCCTCACCAGTTACTAGCTGTACCTTAGACAAAGGAGAACATGGGTTTTTTCATTTGTAAAACTGGGAAAATAATACTTTATGGATTTGTTTTGAGAATTAAATACGTGAAAATATAATGCATAGTACCTTCCTACAGGCCTTCTTTGACCCCATTCTCCCACACCTCCACCTCCCAAAGTTCGTGCTCAGTGTCCCTTCCCTCTGTAACCACAACACCTACTTATCATAGAAGGTATTACACTGTGGTGTAGTTGTTTACCTCAGCCGGTTCTCCTATTAGTTTGTGAGTTCCTTGTCTTTGAATCTCTAGCACTTAGCAGAGGGCCTAGTTCATAGTAGGTATTAAATAAGTGTAAGTATGAATAGAATGAATGAATCCATGTCTTACTCTTTTCTCATGGGAGGACTTTGAGTCTATTTCAGTAGAATGAGGTCTACATACCATTATGTAGTATAACCAGTACTTATGAACTAGTCCAGTGGTTCTTAAAATTTTTTGGTCTCAGGACTCCTTTACACTCTATTATTGTGGGCTGTAAACAGCCTTTGCTTTCTATGGATTGCTATTCACAGTCTTAGGAATTAAAACAAAGATTTTAAATATTAATTTTAACATACCAATACTAAACCATTATATGTCAGCATAACACATTTTCATGAAAAATAACTTTCTCCCCTCTCCCCCCAAATTTCTTTTTATAAGAAGAGTGTGTTTTACAATTTTCCAAGCCTCTTTCATGTCTAACTTAAAAGATAGCTAGAGTCTCATATCTACTTCTGCATTTGGTCTGTTTGTGATAAGTTGTTTTAGTTGAAGTATGTGCAGAAAATCCAGGCTCACATAGATATGTAGTTGGAAAAGGAAGGACCTCCAGGGACCTTCTGAAAGTACTTTAAGTACACCGATCTAGTTTAAGTGGGAAAATGTAGTAGGGTCCAGAAATTGGAGGAGGGATTAGGGGAAAATTCCATGTGGTTAGCTCTCTATAAAAATGTTTACCTATTGTCATATATTATTTGTAACGAATCAAAAAGTTGGTTTTTTGAAAAGATAAATAAAATCAACAAACTATTAGCATGGCTAGGCGCCTGCGTGGGCGCTGGCTCGCGGGCTTGCGGTCCTGCGGTCCTGCGGGACGTCCGCGGTGATGGGTTAAAAAAAAATCCTTCATGAAGAAGAAAGATCTTAAGCAACATGATGGATTCAGAAGCTCATGAAAAGAGGCCACCGATGCTAACATCTTCAAAACAAGATATATCGCCTCACATTACAAATGTTAGTGAAATGAAGCATTATTTGTGTGGCTGCTGTGCAGCTTTCAACAATGTAGCAATCACATTTCCCATCCAGAAGGTCCTCTTTCGGCAACAGCTGTATGGAATCAAAACTCGGGATGCAGTACTTCAGTTGAGGAAGGATGGATTTCGAAACTTGTATCGTGGAATCCTTCCCCCATTAATGCAGAAGACAACTACGCTGGCGCTTATGTTTGGTCTGTATGAAGATTTATCTTGCCTTCTCCATAAGCACGTCAGTGCTCCAGAGTTTGCAACCCGTAGCGTGGCGGCAGTACTTGCAGGGACAACAGAAGCAATTTTCACTCCATTGGAAAGAGTTCAAACATTGCTTCAAGACCACAAGCATCATGACAAATTTACGAACACTTATCAGGCTTTCAAGGCACTGAAGTGCCATGGAGTTAGAGAGTATTATCGAGGTTTGGTGCCCATTCTTTTCCGTAATGGATTCAGCAACGTCCTCTTTTTTGGCCTCCGAGGCCCCATTAAGGAGCATTTGCCAACTGCAACAACTCACAGTGCTCATTTGGTCAATGATTTTATCTGTGGAGGTCTACTGGGTGCCATGTTGGGATTCTTGTTTTTTCCAGTTAATGTGGTAAAAGCTCGCATACAGTCTCAGATTGGTGGGGAATTTCAGTCTTTTCCCAAGGTTTTCAAAAAAATCTGGCTAGAACGGGACAGAAAACTGACAAATCTTTTCAGAGGTGCCCATCTGAATTACCACCGGTCCCTCATCTCTTGGGGCATAATCAATGCAACTTATGAGTTCTTGTTGAAGGTTATATGAGAAAAATCATCAGTTAAGTGCCATTTATCAACTGAATAGACCTTTTAAGAAGAATGTGGTATGGCCTTGTTTCTAATTGGCCAAATACAAGTTGGTTTCATAAGTCCAGGCCACAGTGAATTATGGGCAAAGCTGTTTTCCTTAAGCATCAACAAAAACAGTAAAAGTTTTCTATAGGAAAATTTAAGGTTTTTGTTTTATTATCATTACCCAGGAGCTTTAGGCTAATTGCCTGGTGAGTAGCTGTCTATCTGATGGCCTTTGACAAGGAACATTGATAGTCAAGATAATGATTCTTTTTCTCAGAACAGTCCTTAAAACTTCTGTATTGAAACATACGTGGTCATGATGGGCCAGAGGAAAGGCTCTTATGGCTGCAGGACTTCTCAGGCTTACTCTACTTTATTTCTTGCTTCTCTGTTCTCAGGAGTAATTGCAAAGGGTAGTCTTCACTAAACTTAAGCAAATATGTGGTAGGACAGAACAGAGAAGAAAAACAGCTTATTAGCTTCTCATGATAAATTGCTTATATTAGTTTTGAAACTAAGCACCTATTGGGGTAGTCACTGTACAGACTATTTAGACATGGTAGGATCAGCAACTAATGAAAGTTCCCATTTTGCTTCGTAGGTCTGAAAAATTTGTTTAAATCTGGTATGACCCTTCTAAAAAATCCTTATATTAATTTCACTTATTTCATTGCCAAAGGATGGAGGTACTTAAATTTTGTTGTATGTTTCATCCTGTTAAGAAATTTCATATTAATTGCACATATATCATACTCTGTTTAGTTTGGTTTTTTTTAATTATTTGTGCCAACTTAGCAAAGGGCTTTGAGTTGGTTTCCTTTGAATAGTAGTTTGTCATACTGAAACATCCTGTTCTCTTGAAACTCTCCTTTTAAAAAATAAACACTTCCATAAAATGTTATTTTGGAAGTTTATTAATCCCAGATTATTTTTTTTTTCTGTTTCTAAATGTCATGGGGGAGAGAAAAAAGAAAAAGCTCATGACAGCTTTTGCCCCACCGTGTTATCTGTCTTTTATTTTACTTTCGGGTATAAAAACTTGAGGATGGGCCGGCCCGTGGCTCACTTGGGAGAGTGTGGTGCTGATAACACCAAGGCCACGGGTTCGGATCCTATATAGGGATGGCTGGTTAGCTCACTGGCTGAGTGTGGTGCTGACAACACCAAGCCAAGGGTTGAGATCCCCTTACCGGTCATCTTTTTAAAAAAAGAAAAAAAAAAACTTGAGGATTTTGACATTTTAGGAATCCGGTTTTACCATTGTGTCATTAAAACAATAAGATAATTTGAGAGCATATGATCTAAATGAAGACATTTGAAGGGTTATTTTAAATTCTAGAAGTTGATAATAGCTGGATAGCATACTCATTCCTTAACAGAAACTTGTCAAAGGAATCAGAAAATATTAAAATATCTTTTTCCTAATAAAGCAAAATGACTTATATGCCAATTGAATAACTAATGAAACATAAGAAACATTCTTGAAAAGTGGTTTATGAATCTTTTCTCTAAAACCCCATCTGTAAATATTATAGAGTTAAGATTGCTTTCCAGCATCTGACATGACAGTAGGTAGGTTTCTTGTTATGTTTTTCATTTTTCTGGATAATTGCATGTGAATATATGCACATACCAACCAAAATAAAATCAGGGCCTCAAGTGGTAGTTTATTCAATGTTTCTGGGCAGATAGTCCAAAAAGCTGTTTACCTCTAAGTGCATATGGCCGGTTAAAGTGAACCTCATTTTTCCAGCTATAAAGAATTGGGAAGAATATTAGCCAGGCAGTAATGAAGCTAAATAGCTGTACAGCAGCTCTGCTCAATGATGTGCTGCTTAATACAGCAATTTGCTTTAGAAATCAAGGTGCAGATGTAAGGATTTCAGAAAAAATGAATTTGACACCAAATGTGAGTAGCATTGTTTGGCCTATTGAGTAGAGTCAGAATTTGAAGGGAGTTGAGGTTCAGAAATGAATGAAGAAGGTATCTGGTTCCTGACCCTTTCATTCACGGTGTGTGACCA